GGGGGGGGCCGACTGGGGTCCTAGTCGGGCTGGTTGGCTGCCGTGCACATCATAGCGATGGGTCATTCCAGTTGTTCTGGTTGTTCTGTGGTTCCGGTAGCTTGGCTTTTATATATAGATATTACATAAAGAAGAAATGAATTGACCCTCTAGCTTTTATGCAGAGGGAAAACAGGAAACTATTTAGTAACACAACTAGAAAGGTAATAATCTAGCCTCTTTATTTAATATGAAAGCTTTATTTAATATGAAAGCTTCCGTCAAGGCTTAAAAAATAACAGTAAGTACAAAAGCCCTGGCCCCACTCCAGACCAATTAAATCAGAATCTGTACCCCAACCAGCAAGATTTTTAAATGTTCCTCCCCAAAGCAATAGCAAAAACTCCCCAAGTAATTTTAATATGCAGCCAAGGTGGAAAACAATAATCAGAGAGACTATGAGTGCAAACCCAGGGGATTTTGACATCTTTGTACTTTTTGAATCATTTGAAAGTATTTTTTTTAAATCAATGAGTCTGTATCACTCAAACACACAAAGCGTGCAATTCCTAAGCTATCCAATGACACTGAAATTGAAGCTGACGCTCAGTTTAAAGAAAAGCTGCCAACTCCTGACACAGCTGGCTTTAGAAATATCAGGGTAACACTGATAGAGCATTATCTGCAAAAGAGTAACTCCAGCTGGCTGGTGTTGCTCAGTGGTTTGAGTGTTGTCCCATGCACCAAAAAGTCACTGGTTTGATTCCCTGTAGGGCATATACCCAGGGTGTGGTCTCAATCCCCAATAGGGGTTGTGCAGGAGGCAGCTGATAGATGTTTCTCTTCCTCTCCCTTCCTTTCTAAAATCAATAAAAACATATTTTTAAAAATAGAGCAACTCCCTCCTCTTCTTCCTGTCTACAATGTGTAGGTGAGGAAATAAACCAAATAAAGTCACCATTCAGTAGCCCTAAGGTAATGGTAATTTGTGTATCTGACTTTTTAAAAATATATTTTATTGATTTTTTTACAGAGAGGAAGGGAGAGGGATAGAGTTAGAAACATTGATAAGAGAGAAACATCAATCAGCTGCCTCCCGTACACCCCCTACTGGGGATGTGCCCACAACCAAGGTACATGCCCTTGACCGGAATCGAACCTGGGACCCTTCACTCCACAGGCCGAAGCTCTATCCACTGAGCCAAACCAGTCAGGGCTGTATCTGACTTCTATTCCACTTCCAAATATTTAACTTCTGGTTCTATCTCTCTGCTCAGGAGTATCTTTGCTGGGTATATTTTAAAGGACATATCCTACTTATTTTTTTTTCTTTTTTCTATTTTGAAGTTAACTTGAATCCTCAAATCATATAGAATTTTTAGTAGGAAGTTGTCCAGCCCAAACCTGGGCTCCAGATGGCACGGAAGTTCTGGCTGTCCTCTCAACACAGCTTGCTGAAGGTTCTGGGGTGGATCTCTTAAGAATACTATGTTCTTACCCCAGCCAGTTTGCACAATGGTTAGAGCATCAGCCCAGGGACTAAAGGGTCACAAGCTCGATTCCAACCAAGGGCATGTACCTCAGGCTGATCCCTAGCCTCTTTCTGGGCACTTGTGGGAAGCAATCAATCCATGTGTCTCTCTCACATCAATGTTTCTCTCTCTCTGCATCTCTCCCCGTCCTTTCCACTCTAACAATCAATGGAAAGAACACCCTAGGTGAGGATTAACAACAACAAAAAGAATACTACTGTTCTCCTTCACTATATACAATTACTATTGGCAAACTACCTTCCCCCGCCCCCCCAAAAATAATTATCATTATGAATCGCTGCTAAAATACAAAGCAAGAGCATTGCTGGGCTCAGTCCCTGGCAAACTGGGACTGGGCAGATTATGCAACCTCCTGGACTGTTTCCTCAATTATAAAAGAAGGGGGAGAGGACCAGATTGAGTCCAGGGGTGGGCGAGGCAGCAGACAAAACACAACCAGCTAAAATGCTTCCTCAAAATTTATTCTGTCGTCGCCCTACAAGATTTTGACTGGGGAGGAGAGGCAGTCTGAACTTCACCCTGACACCCCAACCCCCGGAGAGGGATGGCTGTACTTGGCTGATCCCGCAATTCCCGACCAAGGCACCATCTGGAGAGGGTCCTGGGGCCTCGTTCCCGGGGGCTGGAGAAAGGCCCTGGGATTTGTATTTTCATCATTTGCCGGGGCGAGCCCAGGCTTTGGGGAAACAGTAGATAAGCTGAGGGCCGCTCCTCCCGGGCGCACATTAAAACCACCTCACTTCCCTGGCAAAGAATAAAAATTAAAGAAATACCCCATCAGACCCCTCCAGGCTGCACACCTCGCTCTGAGACACCCCACAGACCGCAGGGTGCGATAAACCACAGCCTCGACTCTGCCTCCGTCACCTCCCAAGTAAACGTCTCCGGAGGGAGGCTGGGGGGAGTTTGCTTGGGACCGGACTTGGAGTTTTAACCAACTTCTGCGATCACCGCCCTCCCCACGTTGCCTCCTGCTGAGCGTCACTGCACGCTCGCCGGCCGCTGGCCGCTCGCT